CTTAGTACTCTGGAGGGTGGCACCCTCCAGGCTTACAACCTAGGAGTCATACTGAGAACCTCAGTATCTTTACCCCACCCCTGCCCACCAGTATCGAAGCTCCTGCCAAGGCCTGTCCGTCTCTGCAGCATCTCTCCAATATGCTCCCTTCTCTCCTCTGCTGCTGCCCCCTTCATGGTGCAGACCCTCATCACCTCACACCCACATTACCCACTAGCTGCTGGGGCGGGGTTTACCTGCCTCAAGCCCTCCCGCTCCAGTTTATCCTCCACCTAGCCACTAACATGATTTTAGCAAGATCAGGTCTGACCCCCTCCCCGCCCCAATAAATTCCTTATTGCTTCAGGGATCAAATTCTAAAAGCTCTGTCTGGCATTCCAAGCCCTTCCTAACCTGTCCCCTCCTATCTTTCCTGTCTTCTTACACCATCCTCTTGGGACAGGACCTCCTGGCTGTTCTAGCAACAAGACCCTGCCTCTCTTGGCTCTGGGCACTTTCTCTGGCTGCCCCACCCCTCTCACTTTCCTGGAACACTCTTCCCTCCTCCTCTTAACCATTGAAGTCCTGGCCTCCCATCTTCCACCAAAGCTTCCCCAAGCCCTCTTAATCCCCTTGCCTTCCTTCTGTTGTTTGTTTCCTATTTACCACATGTAGAGCTTGTTTCTGTTTATTTGTTTGTCTCCCCCATTAGACTGGGAGCTCCTTGAGGGCAGGAACTGTTTTTTGTCTCTCTTTGTATCCCCAGTGGTTAGCACTGTGCCTGGCACATGGTAGGTGCTTAATATATGCTTATTGATTGACTGTAACCATCCAGGACCTCAGTTTCCCCTCCTGTAAAATGAGAGCATCAGACTCAGCAGCCTCTTTGATCCCTTCCAGTCTGTGATCTTATGAGCCTCAGTTCTCTTATCTGTAAAATGGAGATGAGAACATCTGCACTACTCACCTTACGTGGTGGCTGGGCTCATATATTGTGGACTTTCAAGCGCTGTGACCATAGCATGGGCCAGAAGGGACTTCAGGAAGCAGCTAACCCATTTGCAGATAGAAGAACTGAGGCCTAGAGAGGGGAAGTCTTTCTCCACACACTCCCCCCCGTTAGGGAACACTAGCAGGTGGGATCTGAACCCAGACCCTCCCCGATGCAGAGCCAGCCTCGTTTCTGCTGCCATTCTCAGTGGTCCTTATTTGATGTTCTGCCCCATGGTGCCCCAAGGCCAAGTATTTTGGCAAGGGCTCCTCCAGGGCCTCAGAGAGCCAGGCTTGTGGGAGGTGCTGTGGTCTGAGAGATTGAGACCCCTCAAGGACCGGATATAAGACAGGGTGGTCTAGAATGAATTCATAGACTCAAGCATTCTTTGAGTCAAGGTGGCAAAGATTTATTGTTATGCTCTGCAGCAGGCAGAGGTCCTTAAGGAATTCTGCCATGGTGGACAGAGCTCCTTAGGGAACTTGCAACCTCACAGGAATGAGGCTAAAGCTTATATAGGAAAAGTAGTGAATTATGTGCCAAGTGTGCTAATTAGGCGATAACACAACTACGTCATTCACTACTGGAAACCTCAGGAGGGGGGTTGCCTAAGGGCGTGTTTTTGGTCTGTTATGTCTGAAACCAGACGTCAGCAGCTTGACCTCTGGATTGTATACGTAGCTGTGGGCATCAGATAGTTCTGCTGCTACAAGATAGTCCTGGTCATACAAGGGCAAGAGGTCAGCTTGTTCTTGCAACAGGGAGAGAGAGTTTGCCTCCCTGGGCCCACTGGTGAGTCACTGCCAGAGACAGGGTCCTTGGGCTGGAGGGAAACTGTCAGGGATAGTGCTTCTGAGGCCAGGGAGACATGTGATCTTGGAAGTGGGCTCTGAGTACGAGCACCCAGGACCCCATCAGGGGGTGTTTTGGCCAAACTCCTGGGTCAGAGCAGGAAGAAAACCTCAAATTGAGTCACCAAGGATGAAACACAAATGCCTGATTAAACACCAAAAAGTAGGCAGGGTGCTCTCTCTCTCTCTCTCTCTCTCTCTCTCTCTCTCTCTCTCTCTCTCTCTCTCTCTCTCTCTCTCTCTCTCTCTCTCTCCCTCTCCCTCCTCCCTCCTCTCTCTCTCTCTCTCTCTCTCTCTCTCTCTCTCTCTCTCTCTCTCTCTCTCTCTCTCTCTCTCTCTCTCTCCCTCTCTCTCCTCTCTCCTCTCTTCTCTCTGTCTCTGTCTCTCTGTCTCCGTCTCTCTCTGTCTCTCTGTCTGTCTCTCTGTCTCTCTCTCTCTGTGTCTCTCTACCTCTCTGTCTCTCTCTCTGTCTCTCTACCTCTCTGTCTCTCTCTCTCTCTGTCTCTCTCTCTCTCTCTCTCTCTCCCTCTCCCTCTTCCTCTCCCTTCCCTGCCTTCCTCTGTTTCCCTCCCTCTCGGTCCCTATCTGTCTCTCACTCTCTCTCTCTCTCTCTCTCTCTCTCTCTCTCTCTCTCTCTCTCTCTCTCTCTCTCTCTCTCTCTCTCTCTCTCTCTCTCTCTCTGTTATTTTATCCTTTCAGTAACCCTTACAAATAGGTGCTATTATCACCACTGAGGAGGCTGAGTCTGGGAGAGCTTAAGTTACTTGAAATGAAATAACACGGAAAGCGTTTTGAAAACCTTAAAGTTAAGTCAGTCAGTCAACATTTATTAAACACTTCCTATGTGCCAGTATACTCCTGGTCCCAAAGTTAGTTATTACATTGAACTGGCTTCTGATCATAAGAGCTCACCTTGATATGACACTTTCCATATATTATCTCATTGAATCTTCCCAGCAACTCCTTGAGGTACGAGTCATTGTTATTATTCTTACTATATTATTAAAAGGTAGGATGTGCCATTATTATCCCCGTTTAACAGATGGGGAAACTGAGGCAGACAACAGTTAAATGACTTGCCCAGAGTGACACAGCTTGTAAGTATCTAGGGTGGGATTTGAACCTGGGTCTTCCTGACTCCAAGTCCTGACTCTGTCCTTTGCATCATGCCTCCTTTTATGTCTTCCTGTGTTGCTTATTTGCACATTATTGTGGTTATTTGTATGGATTATTCTCCTAGCTCTGCTTGCCTCACTCTGTATCAGACCTTACAAGACAGTCTTGTAAGGAAGACTTCTCTCCACTAGACCTTTGACTTTTCTGGGCCTCAGTTTCCTCATCTGTTGGGTTGGTTGACTTCTTTTTCTTTTCCTTTTTGGTGAGACCATCGGGTTTATGTGACTTGCCCAGGGTCACACAGCTATGAAGTGTCAAATTTGAACGCTGGTCCTCCTGACTCCAGGGCTGGAGCTCTATCCACTGTGCCACCTAGCTGCCCTGGTTGACTTCTAAGTTCCTTCCTAATCCTGACTCTGCTGTCCTCACATTGACCATTTCACAGAGTGCCCCAGTATTCTCTTATAGTCATAGCCCCCATTTGTCCTGCCACGTCCACTGTTGGTGGACGCCATTTTCCCTGCCAGGCTTTGATGCTCATCTCCAAAGTGCCCATGTCTTGATTTTCCTCCAGCCTCATTTCATTTTCCATGTGCCATGATTTCAGCAGAGTAGGTCTTCTCTCCATGGACACAAATGGAAATCTGGCCCTGCCCCACAGTAGACAGATGGCCTGCAGGACTGACTGTGGCTAACAGAATCCCAGCCCTGGTAGCTGCACCTCCTGGTGCTCACCGTCTGCCTTCTTCTCGAGGCTGGTCCTTGGAAAACAAGAACATGGCGCATCATCAGGCGTGTCCTGAAGCCTTTCTAGCTTGGAAGCCCGTCACAGCTTACCGTCTGGTGGCTTAACCTTCAGTCAGTCAACAAACACTTACTAAGTTCCATATAGTAATATGTCAGGCATTGTGCTAAGTGTCGGCTATACTCCTCAGGGAGCTCACAGTCTACTGGGGAGACAATGTGTCCGCAAATAAATATGTGCAGAAGAGGTGAAGTGCAAACAGAGAGAAAGGCGCTAATAGCTGGGGGGCTGGGCTGTAGAGGCATAGGAAGGGCATCCTGCAGAAGGCTGAGTTGGAGCTGAATCTTGAAGGAAGCCAGAGACGCTTAGGGGTGGAAGGACGGGGACACCATTCCAGGCAGTGGGGACAGCCAGTACAAACAGTCAGTCAGTTGGTTTGGAGGTTGGAGCTCTGAACTTGAAACCAAGAAGGCCAGAGTTTGAATCGTGCCACACATACTTACTAGCTGTGTGACCCTGGGCAAGTCACTTAACCTCTGTCTGCCTCAGTTTCTTCACCTGTGTGTTTTACTTTGTGCATTTGAAAACATGATTCTGAGAAGGGACGCGTATGCTCTCGCAGATTGCCAAAGGGATCTGCTACTCACAGAAAGGTGGAGAATCCATCCTTGCTGTTGGGGACCTCGGAGGTCTTTAAGTCCAACACTGTGATCTTATGGATGAAGAAACCAAGAGCCCAGGAAGGGAGGGGACTTGCTTTCATGTATTTGTCCTCTGGTTAGGTGACCCTTTACAATGGAGCCTCTTCAGTCTTCTCCCTAGTGGGGAGACCCTTTTTTAAGGACTTATTTCAAGAATTTTGCTTCTTAAAACGGCATCCTTGTAGGTGAGAACAGATGCTGGGCTGAATTGGATACCTAGATCTCTTTCGCCCTGAAATTCCTACACTCCAGTGTGTATGGAAGGAAAACATCATTTTTTCCTGTTTCTGAAAATATTTCCTTCTTGCACATTGGGTGCCATCTGGAGAGGAGTTATTAGTGAGGTTAGCCAGACACACTTTTGAGTCAGCCCTGTAGGACTGACGCCTTCAGACTGGTCTCAACGTGTTTCCCTGTGGGGAGGAGAGGGGGTGAATCCAAAGCCCTCTGCCTCGCCATATGGAGAAGATGGGGGGGGGTTTGGAGTTCCCACTGGCCGCTGCCTGGTTCTGCTGTCCTTGGAACGTCCCTGGGGCGCTCGGGGGGCCGGCGGCTGACGGGCACTGGGAAGAGGGCTCGGCTCGAAAACCAAGGGTTCGTTTGATTGTGTTTTGCAGGCAATAGACTATGACGGCTGGACTGACACCTTGTTCCTTCTGCAATTCACACTGTCCTGTGTGATGGGGTACGTGTTTGTTTTGCACTTTCTGCTGCTGCTGCAGGACTCGGAGCCTGCTTTCTTGGAGGAATGATGATCTTTATCGCACCCCATCTTGATTGTATCATGGATTTTAGAGCTGAAAGTGGCCTTTGAGACCTCCTGGCCCCATCTCATCACTTAATAGATGAGGAAACTGAGGCCCAGAAGAGAGAAAGTGACCCGCCCATCGCCCCACAGAACCACGATTCACACCCAGGTCGATGGCTCCCAACTCAAGGGTCTTTGCACCGTATGGTGTGGCTTCCTGGACGTGGCAGCTTCTCGGGGTCTTGCCTCCCCCTCCTTCCTTCACATATCTTAGAGCTGTTAAGGAGGAGACTTAATTGAGCTCCTTAGCAAGTACTAACAGAACAAAGAATGGGTCATGGCTGGCAGAGAGAGGCCAGCATTATACAGTGGGACAGCATTGACCCTAGAGCGAGAGAACCTGGGTTCGAATCCTACCTTGGACATATTGTCAAAGTCACAAGCTGTCTGAGTCTCAGCCGCAGAATGAGGAGGTTGGGCTGGAGGGCCTCGAAGGTCCTTTCTGTGTCTTCTCTCTGTGATCCTTGGGACGGATGACACTAGATTCAGGCCCCAAGCTTCATGCTTCCTCTGAGCCACTGACAGTGTGGTGAGGGGGAAATACAGCTGGGTCTGCAGACAGACGACTTGGGTTCAAATGTTACCTGGGTGATTTACTATCGGTGTCACCTTGGGCTTCATTTCTTCACCTTTATAATGAGAGGGGTGGGCCAGGTTAACTCAGAGGACCCTTTTAGCTATAAATCCATGATCCTACAATCTCTTCCAGAGCTATGATCTACAGACTTACAACTTTTAATATATTTGATATTCCTGAGGGAGAACACAGTCAGGTGGTGCAGTGGACAGAAAGCCAGACTTGGAGTCAGGATGAGCTGAGGCCAAATGTGGCCTCAGACGCTTCCTAGCTGGGTGACTCTAGGCAAGTCACTTCCCCCTGTTTGCCTCAGTTTCCTCATTTGTAAAATGAGCTGGAGAAGGAAATGGCCAACCATTCTAGTATCTCTGCCAAGAAAATGGAGTCATGAAGATTCAGACATGACTGAAAAATGACTGAACAAAAAGTCCCTAGCTGGCATTCAGATTTGGAAAGTGCTTTACATTCTGCATTTCATCTCCTGACCCGGATGTCTGAATGCTGTTATTGCTGCTGGTGGTATGTGCAGGACTGGGTTTTCTCAGGCCACCCATCCCACGCATGTGGAACTTCAGACCAGGGCGGACTCCTCCATGCCCCGACAAGGATCCTTCCTCCAGCATTGCCCATGGCGGGGAGTCCGTCATCCAGCCTTTGTGCAGGACAACCCACAGCCTCTTGCGGGCAGCCCTTGAACGCGGTTTAGCTTTGCTAATGGTTCCAGCGGCTTACATGAAGCCCAGATTGGGCTCTCTAAAGGCCACTCCATCCGTTGCTCCAGCAAGGGTGATGCAGTCTGCCCCGACTTCTCTGGACATTCTCTGGACATGCTGTGGAATGCTGCTCAGTCATTTTCAGCTGTATCTGATGGTGACCCCATTTGGGGTTTTCTTGGCAGAGATGCTGGAGCAGTTTGCCATTGCCTTCTCCAGCTCATTTTACAGATGAGGAAACTGAGGCCAACAGGGTGAAATGGTTTGCCTGGGGTCACCCAGCTAGTACGTGTCTGAGGTGGGATTTGAACTCACGAAGACCAGTCTTCCTGATTCTGAGCTGGGTGTGTTATGGGCTGCACCACCTACCTTCCCTCCTCTGGGCCTCAGTTTTCTCACTTGTAAAATGAGCGGGTGGATCTAGATCAGGGTGGGGAACCTGTGGCCTCAAAGCTATGTGTGGCCTTCTAGGTCCTCAAGCCCTTCGACTGAATCCAAACTAACAGAACAAACCCCCTCAATAAAAGGATTCGTTGTGTAGAACTTGAATTCAGTCAAAAGGCCGCACCCGAGGACCTAGGAGGCCACATGTGGCCTCGAAGCCACAGGCGCCCCACCTCTGGTCAAGATGCTTTGAGGTCCCTTCTGGCTCCAGTGGTATGTGCAGGACTGGGTTTTCTCAGGCCACCCATCCCACGCATGTGGAATGGGGGCTTTAGACCCCATCCAAGATAAAAATAACATGGTCCCTGCCCTCTGGGAGTTGCCATTCGATCGGGGAATACAACGTATAAAACCTGTGTAACCACCCACCTTGTGCCTCGGCATTGACTTTTCGGTGACAGGCAACTTTCGTTCTTTGGAGAGCACCACCAGAAGGCTATCAGGATCCTCAAGACGGCCTTGGTTCCGAGGCGCCGCTTGGGGCAGAGGGGCCATGGTTTCTTTAAAAGCACCATGTATTTCCCACACGCAGGCGGCCCACTTCCTCTCTCCTCTCCATTCTAGTGTCTGAGATGGATTCGAACCCAGGGTGCCTGACTCCAAGTCCCGTCTTCCTTCCCTCCTTCTACACTGCCTCTCGGGTGGTAATCTCTTAGTGAAGGACCCAGGGAAGCAGCATCACTCAAGTGGCGTCGGCAGGAGATGCTGTCAGATGCTGGTGGGAGGGGCAGGGATGAGAGGGAGGTGGGTTTCGGCTGGACGCCTTCTTTCTCTCCTCCTTCAGATTCATCTTGATGTACGCCACTGTGCTCTGTACGCAGTATAACTCCGCTCTGACGACCACCATAGTTGGCTGTATTAAGGTGAGTAGGAAAGGCTCTGTCCCTGTAGGGGGCAGATACACTGAAAGCTGTTTTTGCTCTAAAATGCCAGCCTGGCTAACTCCCTAAGCCTCAGCACAAAACCTGCTGACAGTTTTGCAAATAACTGCTGCTTAAATTCTTTTTTTCCAAAATATGTTTTATTGCTGTTTGTTAATTGATCCTCTTTTTTTAAAAAAAAAATATCCATTCTTTGCTTTTGTATTTGAACCTTGACCACAGCTTGGCCCTTTTGTGTTCTTTCATTCATTCATTCATCACCGTCACTCCCAATGACGTCCATCTGTCTCCTGCCCCATAGAACTCTTCCTTGTAAGATAAGTAATAGTCAATCAACATGTTGACCATGTCTGCACATGTATGCCTTATTCTGCACCTGTAGTCCACAGCCTCTGTGCCAAGAGCAGGAGACACGCTACTGTGTTACTTTTTCAGACAACCTCAAGAATGACTACTAGACATGATCTCCCATTTCCTTGCCTCACCCCAGGCTGCTCCTCTGTGTCCAAAGAGAGATAAGCAGTAAACTGTAATACGAACCCACTTGCTAAGTATTTGCTATGTGCTACGGTCTAGGAATATGAATAACAAGAGAGTCCTTGCTCTCAGGGAGCTTATGGAGGGCATATAGTTCCATGGGAGGGTCCAGCTGCAGGGTAGATGGAAAGGTCTGGTGGTCCTGAGGATGCTGTGGCGAGGCAGTTGACAGGGGCCAGGAGTCCTCATGGGTTTGTATCAGGGCAACAGGTTCTAGACCTGAGTTCAAATCCTGCCTCAGACATTTTCCAGCTGTGTGACCTTGGGCAAGTCACTTAACCTCTGGCTGCCTTGGTTTCCTCATTTGTAAGATAGGGTTAATAACAGCATTCTTCACCAGGGTTGTTGAGGGGATCTATTGAGATAATATAGGTAAAGGATTTTTTAAACTTCTAATTGCTGTATAAGTGCTAGCTATTATTATTTTAAGGTCACATAACAGACATAAAGGTACGTGACCAAATGGAAGGCAGGCAGTAGATTCTGATGCCCAAGCAATCTTGCAGCGTCCCTCCTGCCATCCCGTCTGATGACAGTGGGGGAAGGGAGGCCCTGGACCAGGGGCTGTGTCCTGGGGAGCTTTCCCATGGCATCTTGGTTGCCTACCCAAACTCATTTGGGGACTGGCCTAGGATTGGAGCTCCAGAAGGGCTGTGAATGGAAACCATGGAGATGGACTGTTGGTGTGAACGGAGCTCTAAATTAAGCTTGTAACAAGGCAATTGTATGAACTGCCCAGGAAAGCTGGAAACCAAATGTCTGTAGGCTAGAGACACAGTTGCCATTGCGTTAAGTCCCAAGCGAGCTCTCCCGGCTCTGTTTTGGTTTTGTGATGAGGCTGCTGTAAGAACAAGAGGGTTACAGAGCGGGATGCCTTGTCTCTGCAGAAGAGAAGGAGCACAGGGCTGGGGAAGGAGAAGGGGCTGTCGTCCCATCAGCTCAAGCCTTCTCTCTCTGCGGGTTCAGAGGGTGATCCAGCCAAGCAGCACAAGTGCCAACATTACATCTTTGGGGAGCATCTTCCATCAGAGCACTTCCTTGTACCATTACAAGAATTTCCAGCTTCTTCCAATTTGTGGTACAGTGGAAAGAGGATGGATTTGGAGTTGGGGACCTCAGTTTGAATCGTGGCGTGGCTGTGGGTTATCTTTGTGACCTTAGATAATTCACGGGACCTCTTTTGGGCCTCAGTGTCCTCATCTGTAAAATGAGATGGTAGAACTGGATGGCCAACTCTCTCTACGTGACCCAACATGTCCTCTGCACCCAGCCTTTAAAAACTTGAAAAAAAAGATCGATGCTTTTTGTTGTGACATCACAGTAATTTCCTAATACACCAGCTCTCCCCCAACTGCCCCACTGAAGCCTTCTCTCCTGTAATAGAAATGAAACAGCTAAGCAAATCAGCCAACATATTCTGACCAAGTATTTGACATTCTGTACCTGTAGTCCCTAAGTGTTCAATAGAGAAAAAGTAAATACGTTGTTTTATTATCTTGGATCAAGATGGGGCTTTACTTTTAATTAATAGCTAGCATTTATGTAAGCTTTAAGGTGAGCAAAGTGTTCTTACGTATGTTATCTCATTTGATTCTCCAACAAAGGTGAGACAGAGGTGATTTATTTAACCTCATCTTCTAAATGAGGAAACTGAGGCAGACTTGCCCAGGGTCATGCAGCTAGTAAGTACCTGGATCAGGATTTGAACTCAGGTCTTTGTGACTTCAAATTCAACCCTCTACCCACTGCGGTGCCACCTGGCTGCTGCACTGAATCTGAGATCAGCTGCTTTTTGGTATTGTTTTCAGTTACGTTGTCATGATTACATATCATTTATCGGGTTTTGCTTAGTCTACTCTGCATCAGTTCATGTAAGTTTTCTTGTGCTTCTCTCAGTTCCTCATAGTTCAGTGACCTTGTATTATTCATCACTATTTTCCCAGTCTTTCCCCACTTGACAGGGACTTGCTTTGTTTCCATTTTTTTTAATACCACAAAAAGTGCCTCTGAATATTTTATCCCTCATCCATTCTTTGAGATTCTGGTTAGAATATGGAGACACTTAATGCTTCTCTTTTTAGCTTTTCTTCCTCCATTCATTCCTCCTTCCTCTTCCTTCCTTCCTTCCTTCCTTCCTTCCTTCCTTCCTTCCTTCCTTCCTTCCTTCCTTCCTTCCTTCCTCTCTCTCTCTCTTTCTCTTTCTCTTTCTTTCTTTCTTTCTTTCTTTCTTTCTTTCTTTCTTTCTTTCTTTCTTTCTCTCTTTCTTTCTTTCTTTCTCTCTCTTTCTTTCTCTCTCTCTCTCTTTCTCTCTCTCTTTCTTTCTCTCTTTCTTTCTCTCTCTCTTTCTTTCTCTTCTTTCTTTCTTTCTTTCTTTCTTTCTTTCTTTCTTTCTTTCTTTCTTTCTCTCTTTCTTTCTTTCTCTCTTTCTCTCTTTCTTTCTCTCTCTTTCTTTCTCTTCTTTCTTTCTTTCTTTCTTTCTTTCTTTCTTTCTCTTTTCTCTCTCTCTTTCTCTCTCTCTTTCTCTCTCTCTTTCTTTCTCTCTCTCTTTCTTTCTCTCTCTCTTTCTTTCTTTCTCTCTTTCTTTCTTTCTTTCTCTCTTTCTTTCTTTCTCTCTTTCTTTCTTTCTCTCTTTCTTTCTCTCTTTCTCTCTCTCTTTCTCTCTCTCTTTCTTTCTCTCTCTCTTTCTTTCTCTCTCTCTTTCTTTCTCTCTCTCTTTCTTCTCTCTCTCTTTCTTTCTCTTCTTTCTTTCTTTCTTTCTTTCTTTCTTTCTTTCTTTCTTTCTTTCTTTCTTTCTTTCTTTCTTTCTTTCTTTCTTTCTTTCTCTCTCTCTCTCTCTCTCTCTCTCTCTCTCTCTCTCTCTCTTTCTTTCTTTCTTTCTTTCTTTCTTTCTTTCTTTCTTTCTTTCTTTCTTTCTTTCTTTCTTTCTTTCTTTTTCTTCTTTCTTTCTTTCTTTCTTTCTTTCCCACCTTCTACTACATCACTTTCTTTCCAGTGATTCATCCCCATTATTCTTACTTTTACATCTTGTCTATTAACTTCATTTTTCTTAATAATAGTGATCAAAACAGTATTAACCACTTGCACATACACAGGAATTTTCTAGTTTACAAAGTGATTTAATATTCCTTATCTTTTTTTTCCTTTTTAAAATCATGATCTTGGCAACCATTAACAAAGGGCAGATAAAAGATGATTGCCTAGGGAAGCATGAATCTGTTACATACATCTGGTTCTGCTGTTGTTCAGTCATATCTGACTCTCTGTGACCCCTTTTGGGGTTTTCTTGACAAAGATCCTAGAGTGGTTTGCCATTTCCTTCTCTAGCTCATTTTACCGATGAGGAAACTGAGGCAGACAGGGTGAAGGGACTTGCTAGTAAGTGTCTGAGGTTAGATTTGAGACTCCAAGGCTGGTGCTTTCTCCACTGTGCCACTTAGCTGTCTGATTGGATATATAGTCAACGTATCTGCGACCATGAGCAAGTAACTGAACCTCTCAGCGTCCCAGGCAATATTTGTAAGTTGTAGAGAAGGTGCCAGACTCCAGTGGTAGAAGGCTTTTCCTCGCGTGGGGTCCTCTGTGTCAGTGATATCTCAGGTACCATTCTGTGACCCCTGTTGCATTTAACCTGGCAGTACCAGCTGTGCCTGGCTGCCTGTGTCCCTTTTTGAGCTTCCTTCTTCGGGGCAGTTTTTAAATGTTTCAAAGATGATGCTTTGTCTTCTTCCATCAATATCTAAACCCCCCCCCCCCCAGCATTTATTATTTCCAGAGGCAAGAACAGGAGAGGGGCCAAAGTGACTGGAGTAAGACAGGTGGGGAAACACATATTTAAAAAACAAAAAAGGGAACACTCTCCCCCCTTTGGGGGCCTAGAGATTAAGACAGTTTCATTCAGAAGACAGGAAAACTTTTTTTAAAAATAAGATTATTCAGTCACCCAGCAGAGTTGTCTGGACCTGCTTGGCTGTTCTCAGGCAGAGAAACTTTTCATCCAGTGGCACCTCCCAAAGTATGTCTCGGGACCAAAATGTCTCAAGCTGATGTAGAAAAATTGGGGAAAATGTGCTTAGATATTCAGAAAGGAAAGTAGTCCTCCCAGTTCTGTCAATTCAGACTTTGGCTTTTCCTTGGAAAACTCCCAGTTCCCTTAGTCCTTGTGGCTGATAAATCTGCCAGGAGTCCTTGCCTGGAGGCATCTGTGTTTGCTCCGTGTGATGGGTAATGTCACCCAGGCCCAGGGCAAGGCACAGTTTGGTATGTGCAGAAGCCATGGTGGAAATGTTTACCTTCAGGGGAGATGGCAGGGGGACAGGTGAACCCAGCCTTCCTCCTTCTACGATTTGGCTCTCACCCTCCCCAGGTGTATGTGTGTATGTGTGTGTGTGAGTGTGTGTGTGCGTATGGGTTTGTGTGTGTGTGTATGTGTGTGTGGGCGTATGTGTGTGTGTATGTGTGTATGGGTGTGTGTATGCTTGTGTATGTTTGTGTGTATGGGTGTATATGTGTGTTTTAAACTCAGGTATATGACAAGATGATGGAATGAGATCTGAAAACTAAGTAAAATCTTGATTCTTTCTTTTCAGAATATTTTAATAACTTATATTGGAATGGTCTTTGGTGGAGACTATATTTTCACATGGACAAATTTCATTGGGTTAAATATCAGGTAAGCAAATAATTGTTTCTAAGTCACCATCTGGACAAGTGAAGCCTGGGGGAGGAGGGGGGAGTGGGGGAGTGGATGCATGTGAGAAGAATCAGTTGGGAATGAGGCAATGACTGTTGGGTCAAAAAGACCTAGGTTCCCATCCTGCCGGGAGGCTTACTAGCTGTGTGTGGGAAGATCTTGGGATCCTAGACAGGAGGGACTGCAGAGGCCATCTTAGTCCCACCTCCTCATTTTACAGATGAGGAAACCGAGGTTCAGAGGGGTAAAGCAATTTGCCCCGGGTCACACAGGTGGCAAGTGGCAGAGATGGCATTTATCTGAACCCAGATCCTCGGAGTCTAGACCAGAGCTCTGCCCCATGTGTCCTTAGTTTTTCTGCCAGAGGAAGCAGAGACAGTTTGATCATGGGTCAGACAGCCTGGGGCCTAGTCCTCCGTTTGTGAGCCTTAGAACATTGATTGTATCACTTGCCGCCCCCCCCCCCCCCCCCCCCCCGCCTTTGTCTTCCTGTGTAAAGTGGACTTAGGACTCTAAGGCCACTAGAAATATAAAAATATGTATAAAATAAATATAAAATAATTGAAATATTTATAGAGTACAAATATAGTGTCTTTTAGAGAAAATATCAGTGGCAGTAAGAACAGATTTGGACTCTGAAGATTTGGATTCAGATGCTGCGGGGGGGGAGGGGAGGAGCAAGTGACTTTACCTCTTTGGCCTCAGTTTCTTCATCTGTTAAAAAAGGGAGGGTGGTAGACTTGATGCCCTCTAAGATCAAGTAAGACAATGTTTGCAAAAAAATAAATAAATAAAGCACTCTGCACAGTGCCTGGTACGCAGTAGCTGCTATATAAATGCTCATTCTCTTTCCCCTAAGCTTCCTTTCTGCTCTAGATCTTTGTGATCCTAGGACCAGATAACTGCTAAGGTTCCTTCTTTCAAGAACATTATGTATTCTGTTAGCCAATCAATTAGCAAACCATTCATTCATTCATTCATTTGCTTAGAGGTAATCAGGGTCAAGTGACTTGCTAGGTCACCCAGCTACTAAGTTGATGAGGTCAAATTTGAACTCAGGTCCGCCTGACTCCATGGCACCACCTAGCTGTAGCAAATATTTACTAAGCCCTTGCTGTGTAAGCACTGTGCTAAATGCTGGGGGTAGAAAAAAGAGGCAAAAAGTCTTGATTTGTAAATGGTAGGGATCTATTTAGTCAGTCAGTCAGTCAGTCAACATTAAGTGCCTTAATGCATACTCTGTAGGCCTCTGGGAATATAAAGATGAAAGTCAAACAATTCCTGCCCTCAAGGAACTTCACTTCTAACAGGGGATGTAACAAATACATGTTTTTATTTTTTAGTTATTACTTATTTTTTAACTTAGTTTTATTTTTCAATGAGCAAAAGTTGATTTGTTCTCTCTCCCACTCTATTAAAAAAAGGAAGAAAGAAAAACATGCTGAAGATGGTAGTTGCCTAGAACACCTAAAGAAATCATTTGTTAGTATCTTCCCTGCTCCCTCCCCTCCCCCAGCCCTTCCTTCTTCATCTCTTCCTTCTTTCTGTCCAGCCATCATCATCTTCCCTGGAGCCGGGTTCACAGCCTCAGGCTCATCCTCAGCTCTTCCCTCACCCACACCCCTCTGCTGTACCTCCCCCTTCTCTCCAGTCTCACAGCTGCCACCCCAGGTCAGTGCCTCCCTCATCACCTGTAACCAGGACGCTGCACTAGCCTTCTCACCAGCTCACTGGCCTCCCTGCATCAGGTCTCTTCCCGCTGCACTCCATCCTCCCATCAGCTGCTAATAATTTTCTTATTGTTCATCCCCATTGCCTCTAAGATAAAATGCAGACCCCTCTTAGGAATTTGAAGCCACCCCCCCACCCCCCATCTGGATGCAGCCTCTTTTTCCAGATTGATTTCTCCTTATTCGCTCCTACCTCTTCTGAATACCGGCCAGCCAGTCGCAGTATTGCTTCCCGGCAGGACATCCCTTCTCCTATCTCCCTGACTTTGCCTAGGCTGATCCCTGGTCTAGAATGCCCCCCCCCCCCAGCCCTGGTGTCCCTAGGCAAGTCACTTAACCCTGATTGCCTCTGCTGGGATCAGCTGAGCAGCTCCAGCTTCCCTGAAGCCTTTCCTGATTGATTGCCTGAGTCGTTACTGCCCTTCTCCTAAATTGCTTGGTATATACTTCTAATTTATACTTAGGCTGTGTGACCCTGAGCATGTAATGATGAGGATGCTGCTGGTGTTGCTGATAACTCACATTTACATAATGCTTTAATGCTGTAAAGTTTGCCATGGGTTTTTATATACATGATCTCTTGAGCTATATAATAACCCTGTGAGGCAGATATTGGAGGCACTATGATGCCCATTTTGCTGATAAGGAAATTGAGGTTCAGAGAAGGTGAAGCCTAGGTGTCATAGGTCAATCTCTAGTCAGTTCAGCTCCTTTGACTCCATAAGAGAGAACCCTTATAGTTGGAGGAGAGAGTACAGAGGCGAGATCTTGGGCTCTGGAGTCAGAGGAGCTGAGTTCAAATCCTGCCTTGAGAGTTTACTGCCTGGACAGATTTGGACCAGTTTACTTGGTTTCGGTGGGCCTCAGTTTGTCATCTGTAAAAGCAGGGGGTTGGTTTCTGAGATCCTTTCCAGCTGTGATCCTTTATTCCCTCTGGGCCAGCCAGGATGATGAGCAAGGATGCTCTCACCATATTCCCTTCACGTCGTCATCCTGCCAATCTCACCTGACCATAGCATGATAGATCCAGAAAGGAAAAGACCTTCAAAGGCCATTTGGTCATAGGATTTTATGTTTACATTTGGAAGGGTCCTTAAGGTCCTCAAGTCTAACTTTCCCATTTTACCAATGAGGAACTGAAACCCAGAGGTTATGAAGTGACTTGCCTAGGGGGACCAAGCTTGTGAATATGTGAGTCAGGATTTGAACTCAGGTCTTCCTGACTCCATGTCCAACACTCTACTTATTCACTGCAACTCCTAGTTGCTACTGGCCCAAACCCCCACCCCCACTTCATAGATGAAGAAACCAAGGCACAAAGAAATTAAGTGACCTTCTCAAAGTCATACAGGTAGTAAGTTAGGATTTGGACCTGTGTTCTTTGATTACAATCAATATGTCATCCTTTGATTAGGACACCTCATTCAAGCTATCTTAAATCTATGCCAATCAGAGTGCTAGGTGCTGGGGGTACAAAAACCAAAATTAAATTATCCCTGCCTTCAAAGAGCTCCCTTTCTGCTGCAGGAAAAAAACACGTACCCAGATGAGTAAATAGGAAATATTTACAAAGTAAACACATTATTATTTTGGTGTGGAGAGGGGAATCCATCAGTCAACAAGCATTAAGCTTCTCCTGTATTCCATACAAAAAAAAAAATTAACTAGCCCTGCTCTCAAGGAGGGTCCAGGAAAGGCCTCATTACTGTGTGTCCTTTGCCTGGTGCACTGAGAAGTGTCAGTCATTCTTCCGTGCTGCTCTGTAGGAATGATGACCTCTTGTTTTCAGTTTCCTTTGCCAGTCCAGGCTAAAATTTCCTCTATTTCTCCGGGTAATATGTTTCTTCTAATCGCCAGCTTCGAGGATCACAGGTTTAGAGCTGAATTTAGATTACAGATTTTAGCTCAGAGGCATCTAGGGAATAGACTCCCCCAACTTCCAGAAGGGGAAACTGAGGCTTGGAGGGGCTAGTGACTTGTCTAAGGTCACACACAGGTAGTAACGCAGAGTCGACCTTCTGCCTCCCGACACTTTTAGCAAAAGGGAACAGAAAGGGGACTTTCAATTGGTTAGGCTTCTCCAAAGTTAGGGAATTGAATTGCTGCTCTAATTAAATTCATTTCAATCCAGCAAGCCTTTCTTCCTAATGCCGACAATGGCCAGGCATTGCCTGAGGCTTCTGGGATCTAAAAATAAAAACATTTCTCTCACTGCCCTTTAGAACATTCAACTAGACCAGCAGGGCTGGACCATATGAATAAACAGGAAACTACGTTGGAGTTTTCTTTCTTTCTTCCCCGCCCTCATCCCCAAATCATCTCCCAGCCAGCATTTGAGTTAGCATTCTAGAGAATTTCCCTAACCAGAATTTTCCTTGGAAAGAAAGGATTTGCCTGACCAAATATAGGGTAGTTAACAGCTGACACTCCCCACCCCCCATCCAGAATTGCAATAACAAGAATCATTCCCTAGAATTTCTAATGCTTGGTGTCTCTCTCCTCTTTTTCTCTCTCCTCACTACCCCCCCCCCATTCACCCCTGCTCCTCCTTCTGATTTTGGGGGGGGAAAGGAACCTTCCTCACTCAGCTGGGTGATTGTGATCTAAGCCCCCAGCTCCTTAACTGGACTTCAAGGGCTGGTTGTGTGTGTGTGTATATAAATACCTGCATACTCTGCAAAACTATTTAGTGAACTAAGAAAAGACATTCCTTCCCCTGAAGGAGCTTGCATCAGAATGGATGTTTCAAAAACCCCACGGGTTAGATTCGGAGTTAATTTGGTCTTTTCCCTTGGATCCTTGCAGTTTTGGGGCTTTGATTTTTGAAACCCTGCTTTGTGAATTACCATTCTAAGGTGGGTTCTTTAGAATGCTGAGTAACATTCTGGAGAGAGCTTTTTGGAATGCTAAGTCATATTCTGAAGAAAAGTCTTTGGAATGCTAAATAAACTCTTTAGAATGCAGGGAAACATTCCACTGAAGACTATTTAGAATGCTAAGTAACATTCTTTAGAAAGGCAGTTCTCTAACTGCCCCAGGTTTGTCTTATCCTGGAATCAACTTTTCTTCCTTGAGAGACTGGGAGGTTAGCTGTATTTTTACATTCACTTTTTTTTTTTCATTCAGTAAACCCTGAAGACCCACTATAAGCATAGCACTTTACTAAGTACTGTGGGGAGTTATACATTGTATAAGGCATGGTCTGTGCCTATAAGAAACCTAGAATTTATTTTTTAAAAATTTCATTGAGGGCGGAGCCAAGATGGCGGAGTGAAAGCAGTGACTTGCTTGAGCTCTCCCCCAAACCCCTCCAAATACTCATAAAAAATGGCTCTAAACAAATTCTGAAGCAGCAGAACCCACAAAAAGACAGAGTGAAACAAATTTCCAGCCCAAGACAACCTGGATGATTGATCAGAAAGGTGTATCGCGCCTGTCTGGGAGCGCAGCGCGGTGTGGGCGCGCAGGCCGTAGCAAACCTGGAGCAGACCTCAGAGGACTGAATCGCGGGCAGCTGTGGAGGTTTCCAGACTCCTCAATCCACGAATGCCAAAGACAACTTAGAAGGTCAGTGGGAAAAGTCTGTTTCTGTCGGTGGTCAGAGAGGAAGGCGGGGTCTCAGCTCCATTCCCCAAGAGCCTGGCCCTGGGGGGGGCAGCTGCTTCCCGAGCTTCCGGCCCACAGACTGAGGGGGAATCCAGTGGCTGATCAGAGAGGGACTGCAGGGATCTCTTTGCCAGTGCTGAGGCAGGAATCTCTTGCTTTGCCCGTGTGTGGATCTGGGTCACTGGGTGGCAGTGCTGGGGTGAGGAAGAGTGCTGGCGTGGTGGAGCTTGTAGTGGCTGTGGAGAGAAACCCCTCCTCACAGTTACAGGACAGAAAGGAATACTTGTGGTCACAGGCCAGGAAAGGAGTAAACACCTCACCCCTTATCATACCACCTTGGAAGAACTGAAAATTTACAGGTCCCTACAAGTATCTCTGAAAACAGCTACACAAACCCCTGAAGCTTGGGACAGTACATTCTCCACATTGGAAGCAGACTCTTACCTTAACAAAGAGTTTAAAACTCAAGTAACTGGCCGGGATCATGAGCAAGCAGCGCAAAAAGAGTCAGACTATATTATCTTACTTTGGTGAAAAAGAAGATCAAAATATACAACCAGAAGAAGACAACAAAGTCAAAGCTCCTACATCCAAAGCCTCCAAGAAAAATATGAATCAGTCCCAGGCCTTGGAAGAGCTCAAAAGGGATTTTGAGAAGCAAGTAAGGAAGTAGAGGAAAAACTAGGAAGAGAAATGAGAGTGATGCAAGAAAATCATGAAAAACAAGTCAACAGCTTGCTAAAGGAGACCCAAAAAAATACTGAAGAAAATAACACCTAACCCAAATGGCAAAAGAGGTCCAAAAAGCCAATGAGGCGAAAAATGCCCTAAAAAGAAAAATTGGCCAAATGGAAAAGGAAGTCCAAAAGATTACTGAAGAAAATACTTCCTTAAAAATTAGAATAGAGCAATTGGAAGACAGTGACTTTATGAGAAATCAAGACACTGTAAAACAAATCCAAAGAATGAAAAATTAGAAAACAATGTGAAATATCTCATTGGAAAAACAACTGACCTGGAAAATAGATCCAGGAGAGAGAATTTAAAAATTATTGGACTATCTGAAAGCCATGATCAAAAAAAGAGCCTAGACATCATCTTTCAAGAAATTATCAAGGAAAACTGCCCTGATATAGTAGAACCAGAGGGCCAAATAGAAATGGAAAGAATCCAAAGATCTCCTCCTGAAAGAGATCCCCAAAGGAAAACTCCTAGGAATATTGTAGCCAAATTCCAGAGTTCCCAGGTCAAGGAGAAAATATTACAAGCTGGAAGGAAACAATTCAAGTACTGTGGAAACACAATCAGGATAACACAAGATTTAGCAGCTTCTACATTAAAGGACCGCAGGGCATGGAATATAATATTCCAGAGGGCAAAGGAGATAGGATTACAACCAAGAATCACCTACCCAGCAAAACTGAGTATAATCCTTCAGGGGAAAAAATGGTCATTCAGTGAAATAGAGGACTTTCAAGCATTCCTGATGAAAAGACCAGAGCTAAACAGAAAATTTGACTTTCAAATACAGGACTCCAGTGGAACATGAAGAGGTAAACAGGAAAGAGAAATCATAAGAGACTTATTAAGATTGAACTGTTTACATTCCTGCATGGAAAGATGATATTTGTAACTCATGAGAACTTTGTCAGTATTAGGGTAGTTGAAGGAAAAAAATTGTATGTATGTATATATAGATAGATAGAGGGCACAGGGTGAGTTGAAGATTAAGGGGTCATATCTGGAGAATAAAATTAAGGGATGAGAGAGGATGATACTGAGAGAAGAAAGGGAGAGGTAGAATGGGGTAAATTATCTCACAAAAAAAACAGAAAAGAAAAGTCTCTCACAGTGGAGGGGAAACAGGGGAAGGTGAGAGGGAATGAGGGAATCTTATTCTCATAGGATTTGGCTTAAGGAGAGAATAACATACACATTCAATTGGTATGGAAATCTGTCTTACCCTACAGGAAAATAGGGGGAGAAGGGGACAAGAGAGCAGGGGGTGAAGAGAGGAGGGCAGATTGGGAAAGAGGGTAATCAGAAGCAAATACTTCTGAGGAGGGACAGGGTCAAAAGAAAGAATAGAATAAATGGGAGGGCAGGATAGGATTAAGGGAAATAGAGTTAGTTTTTTACAACATGTCTACTAAGGAAGTGTTTTGCATAACTGCACATGTACAACCTATATTGAGTTGCTTGCCTTTTCAATGAGGTGGGTGGGGAGGGAGGAAGGGAGAAAATTTTGAACTCAAAGTTTTAAAAACACATGTTTTAAAAAAAGATGTTTTCACATGCAACTGGGAAATAAGAAATACAGGAAATGGGGTACAGAAGTCTATCCTGCTCTGCGGGAGAATGGAAGGGGAAGGGATAAGAGAAGGGAGGGGGAGAGATAGAAGAGAAGGCAGACCAGGGGAAGGGGTATTCAGAATGCATGCCATCTTGGGGTGGGGGAGGGGTGAGAAATTTGGAACTCAAAAACTTGTGGAAGTGAATATTGAAAACTAAAAAATAAATAAATTCATGTTAAATGCTAAAAAAAAATAGTCAATAGTAACAACTAATAGTTATACAATTTAAGATATGCAGTATATACTTGTAAACAGGCACTTTCCCCACCTTCTTCTAGAGCTGTGTGAGTAGCAAGCTTTTGGCAGCAAGTTTAAAAATAAAATATTTCCTTCCTGGTGAAAAAAAATTTTTTATTAATTTATTTTGATTTATCAATAATCACTTCCATATGTTTTTGAGTTTAAAATTTTTCTCCCCCTTCCCACCACCCTCCCCAAGAAGGTGCACAATCTGATATAGGCTATACATTTACATTCCTATTAAACATATTTTCACATTAGTGGTGTTTCCTCAGAAAGAGGAAACAAAACTCAACAGAAGAGGAAAAAAAATAGCAATTCAACTTTCATAGTTCTTTCTTTGGATGAGGATAGCATTTTCCATCACGAGGCCTCTAGAGATGTCTTAGATCCTTATATTGCTGGGAAGGGTTAAGTTTATCATTATTAGTCATTGCACAATGTGGCTGTTATTGTATACAACAAGTTCTCTAGAAGAAACCTAGAATTTAATTGGAGAGAGAAGATACACAGTATCTCTAGTAGAAAGTAATGGCCTTAAAGGCAGAGCTGGTTTGTGCCTTTTTTTGTCTTTTAGCCATCACTCAGTCAATTGACCAGAATTTATTAAGTGCTATCACTGTGCCTAAGCCGGTGGGATGCAGAGGCAAAAAAATGAAACTGCCCCAGCTTTCAAGGAATTGATATTCTATGGGAGAGAGCCCATGGACAAATATAAATGTCATGCCATGTTACAATAATTAGCTTAGGTCAAACACAGGAACAAAATAATGGCCCCTACGGTCTGTGTGGTTCCCTCCTCTGCCGCTTCTGAGAGTTTGTTTTATTTTTCTGCTAGGCAGTGAGGTTAAGTGACTTGCCCAGGGTCACACAGCTGGTAAGTGTCAAGTGTCTGAGGCCAGAGTTGAACTCGGGTCCTTCTGACTCCAGAGCCAATGCTCTATCCACTTCACCACCTAGCTGTCCCAGGGAGTTTATTTTAGTCAAAACATTATGAGTTCAGTCCTGATCTGAGACCTTGCTTAGGAAAACTAATAAAATTTAGCCAGAGGCTTAGGCTCTCTGCCTTACTTTAAATTGTATCTGTCTCCAATTGTATCCTCTTTGTGGCTGATGCAAAATTGAGGTTCCTGGAAATATCTGGATAACAAAATAGCACATAACGTCACACAATACAACATAACACAACATAACACCACCACACAACACAGCACTCTGGGTACAAGGCACCTGGAGGGGAAGTTGGACTGGGGAAGAGCTAGGGGGAGCAGATTTTTCCTCAGGATTTCCTGCAGTCCTTGAGGAGGTGCCTACACTGCTGGGCTCTGTGACTCAGAGGCCGTTTCTCTGTCTACTAGAACATGCTGCCTCCTTAATTATAAGTAATGTTATCTGATGCTTGTTATACTAGTGAGAGCTGGCTGTGGAGTTGGCAAGATCTGGGTCCTTGGACGCAGAAAGCTCGTGTGACCTTGGGCAAGTCATTTCTCAGTGCCCTGGGTATCTCTCCAGGACTGCTGCGGAACAGGTGCCGTCCTGACTGTATTCATAGAGGGGGTGCCAGTGAAATCTCAGTTCCTATCTCTTTCCTTTCATTCATTTTCAGTCCTGTCCAACTCTCTGTGACCCCATTAGGGTTTTCTTGGTAGAGATGCTGGAGTGGTTTGTCATTTCCTTCTCCTGCTCATTTTATAGATGAGGAAACTGAAGCAAACAGAGGTTAAGTGACTTGCCCAGGGTCACACAACCAGTAAGTGTCTAAGGCTGGATTTAAACTCAGGAAGATGAGTCTTTCTGACACCAGGCCTGGTGCTCGGTGCTCGATGCTCTATGGTGCTGCCGCCTTGCTGAATGGTTATTGTTATGGGTAAAGAATTAGGATGGCAGTTGTTATTAATAGACTGTAACGGCTCCACAGATGTAAGCTGTTCTCCCGACTCAATCACTGCAGACTTTCTTTTGTTCTCTACAGTATTGCCGGGAGCCTGGTGTACTCCTACATCACTTTCACAGAAGAGCAGCTGAGCAAACAGTCGGAGACAAGCAGCAAGCTGGACGTTAAAGGGAAAGGCTCTGTGTGAGCCGGGGCTCATGAGCGGTCAGCCCTGCACGCGGGCAGTGCCAACGGAGACCTGCTTTCACGGCTGGGCTGTCTTGCTTCTAGTGAGCTCTCGGTCCTGGGGCCCTTGCACAATCTGAAGATTGCTGCCTTTTTAAATTTTTATGATGAGAGAATCTTATAATTGATTCTATTTTAAATCTGCAGTTTGCATTAATTTATACTGGACTGGAAGATGACATATCTGGCTTTTAATTTATTGTTTTCCCCTCCACCAACCGTGGGACTCCATGTTGTTCTTTGGGCATCTCTGTCCACGGCAAGTGGCATGCATCCAGCCTCTTCCTCCTCTCCCTGCAGACAGGGCCACTGCGGTTAGACTTTTTGCTAGGCTGAGAGTCTGTCTCGTGGAAGCAATGTGCCCCCTATGCTGCTGAATGCAGCTGGGCATGATGCAGGGCTTTCTGGTTCCTCTCTTAGAATTCTCTATTTCCTACCTTGAGGGCCTGGTCACTACATTTTCAATTTCTTACTGTCTTCAAAGGATGATCTCTTTCTACAGAGAGAGAGAAAACACACGTGTGGCATCTGGGATGGCTTGCATCCCGAAGCTCTTCGAAGTCCTGGGCATGGGGAGAATTAGGCTTTTGGTTTTTAAGCCCTTCGTTTGGGATGCTCTGTGGAAATGAGGACGGGATGGGAGATATACTTCAGTGTAGCCCTGGAGGAAGTTGGCTGTATTCCTGGTCTGGCAAACCCAGGTTATTGTAAGTAGCTTGGAAGCAGACGCCTCCCCTCCCCCAAGTGGGAATGCAGTCAGAATAAGCTGTCCTTGTCTTGTTGAGTGGCAGTGGGAAGCACACAGTCGTCTCCTGCTTGCCCTGAACTCATCTGGCTCTTTTCCTCTCTCTCCACTTCTAGGCTTAGCTACCATTCCATCGTTTTGCCCCTTCCCTTGGGGTTTTTTACTTGATTACCCTTATCAGAGTCCCCTGTTTCTAATTTCTTATGATTTGAGGGGAAAGATCATTCCCAGCTGTTCCCTGGTGGTGTCCACCAGGAGCCCGGAGATGCCAGAAGCATGGGTGGAGCTGCCACCCCTATCTCTCTGATGAAATGCATCGGGGCCATGGCGAGTGAAAGCAGCCCCCAGTGCAGCGCAGGGGATCTTGGTTACTCTTGCCTCCACAGACTCCAAGCTAAGAATGGCTTTTACATTTTAAAATACAGTAAGATTATTAAATTTCAAATTAAATTTAAAATCCAACAAAGACTTTTAAATGTAAAAACCATTCTTAGCTTGCAGGCCGTACAAACACAAGCACATGGTAGGGCGAGTGCTTTTCCTTGCTCTGATACATCTCTTACCTGTCAGACTTTGGGCCTGTTACTTCTCTCCTGAGGCCTCATTTTCTTCATCTCTGAAATGAGGAGGTGGATGAGGTTTTTTCCAACTGTCAGTGAAGGATCTGGTGAGGCTGAGATGTGGTGAGGCAGCTCTTCCTTTCGGGTCAACCAGCTGTGAGACTCCTTTGGTCTCATTACTGGGACTTGGCCCCCTTCTCTGCCTGATACCACCTGAGTCATGCTCGAAATCTCTGGAGCAATGGCTAGAAACAGACTTGGTTTGTCTTAGTGAGCTTCTCCATCCTGCCAGCATCCCCACTTCAGCCTCTATGATGCTAGCTTCTTAACTGATAAAGGAAGGCACCATTCTCTCTAGCTGGAAGGAATGAGCCTGTGGCCTGCTGGTAAATGGATTTTCTCCTTATGCATTACAACGGTCTCCTTCAGTTTTAACAACTGAGCTGTGTGGGGCAGCTGCCCAGTTTTACAAGCTTCTAGACTTTAGGAAAAGCTTGGGAAGATTATTAGGTCTGTAATTAGAGGCCCTGGATTTTCTGCTTAATACCTGTGTGATCTTGGGCAGATCACTTCTCTGGGCCTCAGTGTCCTCATCTTCAAAATGGCAGGGTTGGACTAGATGACCTGAAAGAGCCCTTCCTTCTTGAAATCTGAAGATTCTGTGAGTTTGATGCATTTCCAGAGAAGGGAAGCCAAGGTTGTGGTGGGATTGGAGAGTATGCCATATGAGGAACAGAAGTTTCAGCTTGGTGAAGAGAAGGAGGGAGAGAATGTGACAGCCATCTGCAGGTATCTGAGGGTGGAAGATGCAGGAAGGCAGGCTTTGACTTAATGTAAGTAAACTCTTCCTAATAATTAGAGGCGTCCCCCCCCCAAAGTGGAATGGGCTGCCTTAAGATGCTACAGGTCTCCTGGTCTGGAACGACTCTAGGGGAAGGCTGGATTTCTCATTTTCAGAGATGATGCATGAGGATTCCTGTCCAGGTGTGGGTTAGCATCAGTGACCTTTGTGAGCCTCTCCAATTCTGAGATTCTGTGATTTACCTTACTGTCTGAGGTCATTTACAGAAAAGGGCCTTAGGCCAGCCTTCTTTCTAAGAATGGAAATACTCCAGCAGGAGGAGGAGAGGACGGGAGAGGGAGGAGAAAGGAGAGAAAGATTGAGAGTTGGGGGGTGGTAATGTCTATCCTTGGAGTCCAGGCCCTCAGTGGAACAGGGTGATGGCTGGCTTTCCTGTAGCGTTCTAAGGTCTGCCCAGCACTTCACATCCAATTATCTCATTTGAGCCTCCTAACAACGCTGGGAGGCAGGTGCTCTTCTTACCTCCATTTTACAGATGTGGAGACTTAAGCTCAGGCTCCTGGTCAGGAGGTTCCCAGCTCGGAAGGGTCACAGGCCTTTGTGTGCCCAGTTGGCTTCATGCCACACTCTAGCACCAGATCTCCCTGGTTACTGGACCCTCGCTTAGCATCAGTCAACAAGTCTCTGTTGACACTGGGCTCATGTCTGACCACTGGCCACCACTGGCTAGTTGTGGGAATATACATTACAGTTCTGATTTATTCAAACGTCTTGCTCCCTGCTGCTCCTTCCTGTGACCCACATGAGTGGTAGGGGGTAGGGGGCCCATGGATTAAATTACAATGTGCAAATCTGGGTCATTTTACTAGAGTAATAACTTAGGGAATGGGAAGTATCAGAACTGAAAATATATGTGCCTTCTAGAATGTCTAGATTATAGCCCGACAGTAGACCTATCATATTGTGACCTGTTAACTTACTCCTTCAGCAGGTAGAAGCCTTACTGAATTTTACAAATGGGAAACTGAAGCACAAAGCTGTACCAGGCTAAGGTGAGCTGTGGGCAGAGCTCGGAACTTCTGAGCCAATCACTGTAACCAATGGATAGGGTCAATCCAATTTTGATTAAACTAGAATCAGCCTGTAAAGGGTCAGGGGGCTCTGCATATATATGGAACGGAGGCCATTTTCAGTTGCCTTTCCGTGCTAATCACCTAATTCAGGGTGAGCTGCTTAAAATCACAGAATCACAGAGTTGGAAAAGACCTCAGCGGCCCTTTAGTCTGGCTGTCCATCATCTGATCTCCTGAGCAGTGGCCTTCTCCCAACTTTGGGTGTCCTCTGGTGGCCATTTGCCAAGAAAGCCCCAAATGCACTATAGTAACAGAACCAACTTGTTTCCATCATAACCATCGTACTTAAGACTTCGCCATCAGCCTCCTCCCCTCTGCTGGTTTTCAGGACTGCGTGGTATCCACCTCCTGTTACTCACCTACGTGTCCTTTTCAAAACTGGTCGCTTCATAGTGAGTACCTTGTGTGGCCACACCAGCATCTTTAGGAAACTGGACTGGGGCCCCCATACCCCATTTTCCTCCACATCTGTGTCTTCAGAACTCCATTCTTGAGAGTTCCCTATCCTTCCTAATGTAGAATTTCCGATTGTGGTTCCCTCTGTACCCTTTCACTGAGACCTTTGAGAATTCAACTAAGTGGAGATTGCAGAGAAGTCTGATTCTGTGGCCTCTCTATAGATCCTTCCTGTTCAGTAATTTGCAGATGTTCTGGTCAGTAGGAGCTTGGCTTTTCTTTGAACCTCAGCTGTGCCTGGTGCCCAGAGATGGTTACATTGAGCTTTGGGTGGGTGGGGCACAAAATGGCCTCTGGCACTTTGCAGGAGCCAGTTATGGGTAGGAGAGAACAGTTTATGTAGATGTTATTCGCCAAGATGGGGGTTGGTTAGCCTATCCTGGCCATGCTCCGCTGGAGCCCACATAAATTCGAACACCTTCACAGGTGGGGAGCCTGGTGTAGGCCCTGCCTGCAGAATCCGTAATAATGGCTCACACTTATAGAGTTTTAAGGTTCGCAAAGTGCTTCACGTATGTTATCCCTTTTGGTCCTCACAACAACTCTGTGAGGTAGACATCCCCACTTTATAGATGAGGAAACTGAGGTTGGAAGAGGAAGGGATTGTTCCAGGGTCACACAGGTAGTGCAAGGCAGAATTTGACTTCAGGTCCAGGGCTCTGTCCATTACTCTAAGCTGCCTTTTTAAAGGGGACACCAGGAAAGAGTCCTGAGGACTCTCTGGGGCTGTCTCAGGGCCCAAAGCCCACCAGCCTCACTCAGTACAACCCAAAGCCTGGATTCCCCAGAGCAGAAGTGGTTTGAATCTCTAGCGCTCAAGATGTAGCCCAATTCAGATGGAGACTGGCTCTGCCTTTCTAGACTCATTTGGGAGCATAACCTGGTACATGCTTGGCAATCATTTGGACAGAGGTAAACTAACCAGCATGGGCTTGGAGTGGGAAGCTTTTCAGGGTGGACATTGGGGGTCTGGTTCCCTGGTCTTCTAATTGTGTTGTAACCCTGCCTGCTATATCCCGACTGGTCAGGAATTTGTGTCACTTTATGTTTCTAAGGATTTCTTCAATGTTGTCTTCGTCCTTCAAGGAATCACTAGTTAATTTGTCATCCCTGAAAAATGTTTTTCAAGATGATCTTCTTCTTAAATAGATGCCTCTTTCAGTGCCAGAAACCAGATGGTATTGTCTGCACTGGGAAAGTGAATAAAATGGATGCCATCATACGTTTTCTATGCTGTTGATCTCCTGGAAATATTTTTTTCAATATAGATTCTATTTACAAAAATGACCATTTTTGTGTTTAAAAAAAAGGTACTGCAGGCTAGAGATTTGTAAATCATGTCATTGAAAGAAAATTACTATGCCTGCTTCAGTATTTTTGTATGGGCTTCAAATAAATACTTTTCTCCTGAAAACATGCATTTCAGTTCCTCTTGTGCGACACCCAAGGCAAATAGAGCATGAGGGAGCGTGTCTGTCTGCCTGCACTGAAGAGGCAATCCAGGCTTTGTCTGAGGTACAGTAACAGTGAACATGTGCCTGGGCCAGGTCTGCCATCACGATTTCCTGCCTGAATCAGAAAAGGCCAAATACCCCGTGTGTTGGGCATGGTTGGTCCCTAGACCAGTTAGCAAGGGAATCAGACATCAGTCTCTTAATCTTTCTGGGCATAACTGCTAATCAGTAACCGGGATGGTCAAGGAAGGGAAGCATCTTCGAAGTGTCCCAATCAGACCAAATGAAATGGTCAGAGGAAATTCAGAATAATCTCCAGTTTTCTTCCATAATCCCATTAGTGGCCACAGTTTTTTTCTCCCTCTTGTCCCTCCTCTCCCTTCCCTTCTCAACGTCAGTGCAGCAGGAAGGAGCCTGGCTTTGGAGTCAGAAGGCTAAAGTTCAGTTCCACTTCTGGCACTGCATCATGGGGGGGGGGGCATGATGAAGGGGTTGGTTCAATTAGAGCCTCTAAGGTCCCTGGGTTCATTCCCTCGAATCTCTGCCCCCACTTCAACTCCACACCTTCCTTCTCCCCTCCACCTTGTTAACTTCAAATCATTTAATGAATTGTGGGGACTGGTCCTTTACATCTTTCAACACGTGTTGGTTGTCACTGAGCCTTTGTTTCCCTGTTTTTAATGGAAGGGTTGGGACCAGATATGCTTTGGGACCCCTTCCAAAGACCATGAGGCTGGCTGTGACCTCCCCTGGTCTTCTGGGAGGTTTAAGCCACAAGGGTGAACTTTGGAACATTCCAGTAATTGGGTCCATGGATCACAAAGCAGTGAAAAGAAATCTGCAGCACTGGGGATTCCAGCTTTGTTGGTTTCTACCTGTGTGACCTCTCTGGGCCTCACTTTCCTTATCTGTAAAGTTGAAAAATTGTTCCTGCCCTCAATGAGCTTGCATTCTGTATGAGGGCTACATGGAAACCGTGATCCCATTCCTGTGGGTATTCTTTCCACCCAACCATCAAGAACCAAAGTGAAATGGAATTCCAATTTTTAAACACAAGATATGGATCAGATGCCTCCTCCTTATGTGTCGTAACATCTTGGAATAGAGGGAGGGGTGTTCATTGTGCCTGAGACACCCTAGATGCTCATCTGGAGCTGACTGTAACTGACACCTGCGGGGGGAATTGGTTTGGTTTTTTGGTACATAATTAACCTTTAGGGTCTCAAGGGAGCTGTGGCAGTACTCTGCAATTCAGCAAACAAATATTCAGCAGGGCACTGGGGTTCTGTGGCAGGATTCAGGAAGAGTTGGTGAGTCATGACTTCAGCGAGCTCCCCCAAGCCTTCCTCTGACTTTGCCATAGCACCTCTGAGCTAACTGAAAACGTCAGAAAATTGGGAAGGGGCCTTTTCTGTGTAACGTGGTGATTTGAAAAGCCAGCCTCACGGAGCCGAGAGGCACCAAAGATAGTTTGGGTAACTCGTAGGTGCACAGATTGAGAATTCAGGCTTCAGACAGTCGAGTTAGAACTATCTCCAGTTAAAAAATACAAATCAAAAAGCTTGTGTTCGTCAAGCACTTACTGTGTGCCAGACGTGTATTTGATTCTCACACCACCTTGAGAAGTAGTTTACAAAAACGAGCATTTTCACATTTTAATAAAAAGGGCACAAAATTAGGTGACCGTCAAGGAAAATTAATGTGCCTGCTTGCGGTATGATCTCCATTTTATAGCTGAGGAAATTGAGGCAGAGGTTCAGTGACTCACCCTGGTCACCCAGCTACTAAGTCTGAGGTTGGATTTGAACTCAGGCCTCCCCCAAGTCCAGACCTGGTGCTCTATCCACTGTGCCACCACCCTCTGGGGTTCAGTGACTTAGCCAAAGTCACACAGGTGGTAAGAACAGAGGTGGGATGGATTTCTGTGCTTTTCCCCTGCAACAATAAAAACTAAGTCAAGTTTAAACTTCTCCCCGTGGAAGGACAATGGGCCCAGCTCTCCCTCTTCCAGGCCCTGAGCGTTCTCACTAACTACAAAGGATGCATTCCCTAGGCCTTTCTCCCAGGCAGCCCCACTTGGCCCAGAAGCAAACAGCTGGCTGGGCGAGGGTGCTGGGCTCTGCACATGCAGGCCTGTGCCTCTGCCTCTGCTCACTTGGTTAGTGGTGACTCTAGGCACGTCACCCAGCTGTGCTGGGCCTGCTTTCTCGTGTAAAATGAAGAGGGGGCCCTGGACAGATGGCACCCAAGTACCCGCTCCATCCAAGTGGATGGTCCTTGGGTTTGGGAGCCTGTGATGTTCCCTCTCTTGGGCAGTTTTCACACCCTGGTTACAGGACCAGGCTCCCTGCCCTCTGGTAATGGCACTCACTTCTCCTGTAAACAGACTTCAGAGGGCACTGCTCGAGGGCCACAGCAGGCACAGAGACAGGGCTTTCAGTGCTTGCCACGAGGGCAGGCAGAAGGAACTCAGACGTTTATAACCTGAAGGACTCAAGGCGCATGTATCAGGCTTCTCTGGCCTCAGAAGGCAGACCTGAGGCCACGGGGGCGGAGGGGGAATTTGTCAAGAGACAAAGCTAGGGTTGATGCCTACAAGTTGTCCTAAGCTGGGAGACGGGATCCGTCTGTTCCGAGGTGGTCTGTTTCCCCTCCTTGGAAGGGTCTTCAGAGCCAGGCCTGGAGCCAGGCCGCTGAGTTCCTCAGTACAGAATGGACTAGCCGACGTGGAGTTCCTATTCTGCCTCTCCCATCCCTCCCCCACAGAAGTGAAGATCCCAAAATCTTCCCTTTCCTTTGGACTCCACCACAGACTACCCTAAGAAGGAAGTGGCTGTAAGGCATCAGTGGAAAGGGGTTAAAAAATGGAGATTAAGGAGGAGGAGTGATAACACCTGTAAAAACCAGACACAATCTCCCAAGAATGCTACGACCAGCAGAAACAAATGATGCAGAAGGATCCTAGTTTTTGCTAAGCTTAGAGGGAAATCCACCTATCTGCAGATCCCTCATATTACATCTAGAATTAAACCCTTTTACAGGTGACTGAGAAATACAGAATCTGGTTAACACAAGGACATGTTTAAAAAAATATTTTAATAAGCTTTTTCAGAATTGCAGACAGGGATTGGGGAGAGAACTGGAAATTACTTACAGTGCAAAATTACTATGCAGGAATTTAAAAAAAATCTAATCCATGATTTTTGAATGCCTAGTCTTTTAAAATATCCCTTCAAATCTACTTTAAAGCTCAACCAAAGATTTCTGTTGAACTGAATTACTGATTCCGCAAACATCTGAAAGAACTCCACAAAAGAGAACCTCATTTCCTGACCGTGTTTGCCCGGACACTGTGCACCATGCATGCCAAGGCGGGAAACAGTTCTGGATCTGAGTGACTGAGGCAAATTAAATTCATGACATCACTAAAAATCGCAAAGTACTAATAGTGCAATGACCCCTCAAGTTCTAGTGGCTGTATGCTGAAGAACAAGACGAAAACATCATGTAAAATGCCTGCATAAACACAAACGAGACAGTACAATTCAATCCTCCTTCAGGAAGCGCTGAGCCTCCCACATCAGACCACCCCACGGAATGTCACCTAGGGACACCTTCAAACTGTGAGAGCAAAAAAGCAACATTTCTGAACATGGCATGACTGCCCTGTCTGCAAACAGGCCTGAGGACAAATGACTTCTACATTTTCCTATCAAATGAGGTCACAGTTGACAAACTTGCAAACAAAGATGCATTTTTTTCTCTTAAGAAAAAAAAAAGTGACAATGGGTCTCTGACACCTAGCACCAGCCTTCCCTTGGAACCTTCTCCGGACCATCTTTGGACTTCATGAAGAACACGGATTGTGACCCCTTTGCTAAAGCTACTGCCATTCCAGAGGAATGGAAATGTTGGGTCACCACCCTCCACACACACTACCATTCAGACTCTGGGTAAAATCTGTGAATGTCCACCCTAGGCAATTAAAAAGTTCTAAAATGGCTTTTAACACTGATCTGAGGCAGGAAGAAAAAGAAAATGTTCACCCTGGTGAGGGAAGCAGCTGTGAGTAGCACACCAGGAGCTCTTTCCCAGGGCCCAAGGTGGAGCCATTCAGAGGACCACAAAGTACTTGTTGGCTGGGTCATCTGTACTGCCTCCCGAGCTGCTGGCCACCATGGAGAAAGAGAGAGGAGGTGTTTACAATGTGTACATCTGTGTGATACTTAGCAAAACTACTTCTAAATGTTTGTATAGGAGTGTCTAGGTGGCCCACGCCCTGCCTAAGACTATTTTCAGCAGGAATCCCATGCTTAAAACAGACAGACCCGCCTGCCCTTTTGGCAAGACTCCACAAATAGACAACCCTGCTTCTCCAGGGAAATGGTTCCTCTTTTCTCTTTATATATCATTCTGTACCTATGGCTACAATAAAGTCTCTGCATTTCAAT